GTTGGCTTTTCATTACTGGCATTGTGGACTACCGTTTTTGTGTTAAGAGACAACACTGATATTGTCACCCCAGCAATGGTTTTTGCTCCTGCTTTTTGTTCTTCAATATACGTATGCATAGTCAGTTGCAGCTGAGGTTTCTTTCTCTGTGGTGTTGTGGGCAGCAGGTTAGCAGCTGTGAGTGAGAGATAACCATACCACCTCTTCATCACAATTGTGATTTGTGAGGTACTACTTCTCCTTTATAGCAAACTAATGGTGGTATCAAATGCAAGGATGAAATTTTGTTTAACAATTCTGCTAGTGTTAGTACCAGTGCAACTTTTCTGCATTAACATCACCATTACAAGATTATGATCTGTCTATCTGAATCCTGCATTGTATATAGTATATGGTGTGCTTATTTTTTGGGGGTTTATTATGTCATCTGATGTTGCATTTTTTTTTTGCTCTAATGTCATGTAAGGCCTTTCTATTTCCTTTTTAGAATTTTTTTCTCCACTAAGTTACAAAATTAGACATGTAACATATAGGGATGTAATGCCTGTTCTGGTCTGTTTGCCGCAATAGGTGAGATTGCCTTGCTGGGTAATCAGGACTCAAAACTTGGGAGTTAGTTTGTGGTGTGGTTACTTCAGACATATGGTGTGCTTGGATGAGGTGGATTGCTTTGAAATAGGCTCTAGTTAAAATTTGAATTGAATCATAAGAATTTGAATCCTAGACCCTCCCTGACTCCCTGTTCTAAGTGGATGTTACAGTAGTAATTGGCATGCTAAACTTTTTATGGTACATACACCGTTGGAGACACAGCCTGTCCAGCGAATACTCAGTGAGCTCGGCACACCAGACCTTCTTCCATGGCTAGTCATCTTGAACCATTGCTGGACTGCTGACAGGCTTGCCAAGTGCAGCATGGATGCTGTAACTGGCAAGTTGCCAACTCTGCAACCAGGCTGAGGAATATACATAAAGCATCTGCTGACCACCTATGTGTTTGCGTAAGAGGTCTAGCAACGCATCGCCTCTTCATCCGGTATGGCCTCCCAGCCCAAGCCTTACATCGGACAGAAAGAGAGTTCGCAGAATGGTATTACAAGGCTGAACTTATCCTTAGCAAGGAAAAGTGCAAAGGGTTCAATTCGCTTGTTATGAACCTTAGTTCATATCAGGGATAGAGAGGATAACCATTGCCGAGAGGAAGGCCGGGCAAAGTCGGCGTGGAGGGAGACTAGAATATTTGGGGGTGACTGGATTGTTTGTTGTTCATTGCTTGATTCAATCTCAACTGGTTACAGGGTATAAATAGAGGAGCTCAGCCCCTAGGCGCCCAGCCTTTGGCTCCTTGTTTCTCTCCCAACATTAACTCTAATCTCTCATTAACTCTAATCTCTTCCCCAGAATTCTAATTGCCATTGATTACAGCCGCATGCTCCTCTACTGCCGTGCTCCTGGCAGCTGCATGCGCCTCTACTGCTGCAGCCATAACTACTAATCCCCAACCATCTATTAATTGCTATTGATCACAGCTGCACGCGCATGACATCGCTGGTCATTTTGGCTGCCTGGAACATTGAGAAGCACCAGAACGACTGTGTTCAACAACGTCTGGCCATCAGTTCAGCGCCTCTTGCAGGAGGTGATTCGGTGAATGACAGAGTATAGCAGTGGTGCCTTGCAAGCTGTTCTGGTAGGAAGTAGTGGGTAGTTCTAATGCTAAAGGTAGTTCATGATTTTTGCAGGCACGAATGTAATTTATCAAAACTTAAAGTCAGCTTCAACAAACTCTATTTCCTAATCCATTGACATGCAGTTCTTTGTGTTCGAGAAAAAAACTGCATATGGTAACTGATAGCGTCATTTAAAATTCTTTGATATTTAGAAATTCATACCCATTTTATGCTTATTGGCCCTCAAATTTTTAAACATAGGGCCATTATAAGCACAATATGGGCCATAATCTTTTGAATACTCAGCTTCCATGCACATACATCAAAACTAGAACTGGGCAACCTGCAGCATACTGATTTAGTCATTGCTGGGTTCGCTGGGGCCATCATCTCTGTCCATTTTCGGTGAAGCGTCACTTGCATTTGAGATATTAGTAGGTGGGTCAAAGCTCTTAAGTTCATATTCTTCCAAACCCTTTTCTGCTGCTTGACTCTCAGTCTGAACCCCATGCCTTTTCAGAGCATCTTTGAACTTATGAATCTGAAACAGTATGAACTTCTTAGTTTAAAAATAGTTTAACAGTATGTATACAGATTTGACCGTCCAATCTTACAGTTGAAATTGTGCAGCTGAAGCTACAAATACGACCTTCGGTGCCTCTGTAAAAACGGAACAATGGCAAGACACAGACATGGAGCCTCTTACAGATATCTGTTTGTTCATTATAGTTGACCATAAGAAATTGCAGTCCTGGATGCATCTCGGCAAACTGATGTACCTTTTTGGAAATTTGACAAAAATGGTATTATATATTATTTTATGGCAAGACATGTAATTGTTTTTCCTTTTGATAATTGTAAAATTGTTGAATCTACATGCTTGTCCTCTTTTACCTTAGAGTGTAGGGCCTTGCAAGCTCCACAGCTAGGTGAAAAGAAGTGCACCACTGTGAATTTATCTCTGGCCATCAGAAGCTGTTCATCAAAATCGTCCTGTGATTTGATATTTATCATGTTGTCCTTCATGTCTATCTCCCACCACTTTGTTGTCATATGGAGGTGAATGCCCTAATACCATGAGTAAATATCACTGCCATCTTTGTCATGCTCCAGAATGTGTTGTAATGAATGTCTGAGTTCTATCATTTTATAACGTAACTATTAGATTTCTTTGTTTCAATACAAATTTTACAGTAAGCTTAGATAGTGAAGGCATTTTAAACCAACAATTTTGTAGAATTTACTTCTCATTTTGATTTACAATTTTCTCTCTCCCTGAATGGACAAATGATTATTTTTGTGGATGCTGTGTTAAGGAGCAAAGAACCGTGTTGTTGTAATGGTACCCGGCCAATGAGACCGTTTGCTGTGTGAACTGGCCAACAACACATACATTCGATGCCCCATAGCAAAATATGACAAAATAAAGAGAACATGATTTTCTCAAATTTTAGATCATTTATCCTCTACATGGAAATGCATTACTTGATACATTGATTTGGACTGCATAATCTATATTTCCATTATTCTAGCAGGATAGCATTTATTGGCACTTTTCTGTTTTTGTGATTCAATTATCTCCAAGCATTAAAGTCAACATTTTTTTTCTATTTTTTAAAGGTAATATAAGGGCATAGGATCATATATAACAATTAGTTCCTTAGCTATAAGGAAAATACCTTCTTGGGATCTTTTGGTACAGCTCGGGCGACAGTCAAAGCAGCCTTTTCTCTGGGCAAGAACTGCTTCCCCTTGATCACATTGTGATTCCAAGTCAATACCTTGAAGCAATCATCAGATCTGTTGCTCGTGTATTCATGACAGGATGAACCGCCAACAACCCAATGGTTTGTCAAAGATGAAGCCATCGACATCATTGAACTAAAACAGAAAGGAACATTTAACAAGTCAGCATCTTCGTGAAAAATACTACAGAAAAGTGCGCATTTAAAAAGCACAACATGCCTCAAACTAACTGGACAGGCTCTACAAGATCTGGAATTGTTTGTGATGGTGAAATGGGGATGGCCCATGCTGAGGTATTTATAGCTGAAGAAAATTTTCTTTCAGAAGGAAAGTATGCCTCATCATCCTTTCGTTTTAATGTTTATCGTTCTAAAGAGTGGTTCTGTTGCTTGTCGAAATGCACATAGGTACAGTCAGAAGAAGTGTTGTTTCTGTGTGGTCATCTTTGGCTTTGTTAGGGGCTTTGTTTCTTCTGTTACATATCTCCAAGCTTTAGCTTTGGTGCTTCTTACACCCTCTGCCAACTTTTATCTGAGGCGGCATGGCAGTGCTCCAGAATGGAGGAAGCTGATGTGTATTTGGATAAAAAGATGACTTTTTTATGAACAATACTAATCTCTTTGGTGTCAATCTTCATGCATTGTGGATATATGACTGGTAGTCATATCTATATCTAAATGTACTCTACTGGAATGTTGGATTTCTTGCTTAAGTATAAATAACTAATTAAGGAGTGTATTGTGGGAGACATAGATTTTTTTTTTTCGAAACCAAATGTTAGAGGTGCCACTAGTCATAACCCTAGACTATGAACCTTTTTGCAAAGTTTCGCTATCTGATAGTGGCAATTATTTGAATCCCTTGAAATGATGCTTTGCAAGTTAAGTGGTATGCTCAGCTATTTAGTAATAATAACCTTAACGAGCAAATAGCTATTGCATAAAGCAAATTTAATTCCTTTTCTTGCTCGAGATAATCATTTATGCAGTTGTATCGCCTGATTTTTGTCACTCCCTTAAGACGACGCAGAACTCCAAAATCCAAATGCATAGATCCTGTGCAAACTTTTCTAATGCTTTGCTGCTACATCAGAAGGCCTGTGATCATGCCACATTAGCCATCTCATAGTTCTGTGGTTGAATTCATGCAGGATTGCAGCCACCCAGACCACCTAGAAAACAGTACAGGTTTGCAAATATCACCATCACATTTGAGCTAGTTTAACTGGTTTTCTTGGTAGGGTGTACAATATTCCATAGATCATTGATTTCACTTCATGGCTGCATAGGTTAAAGTGTGTTTTCCTTGCATGATTATTGTGGCTACATAGATCATGGATTTAATATTGAAAAACAAGGATAGCTGAATGCACATGTATTGATCAGACCTGCATGCCCTTTTAGCTGGATATATCTGAAAAAATTCAGCAATGTCTCAAAAACGATTGGAGCCAATGATAGCACAACCAGTGATACTGCCATTTTTCTCTTCATTGACAGAAAAACAGGACGAGGTGTTCAATTTCTTGCCCTGTAGCTGGAAGCTTGATAGACAGATGAAAAAACTTTTAAATACAGAATGCAGTTAGAACAGTCTAGAAGATTGTATTAGATCCTTCGAACTGCCATCTACAACTGCACGGCCTGCCTCCTTGTTGACACCACTGTCGTCCATCAACTTTCTCATATTCTCTGACCCCAGCCATTCTCCAGCTGATGCATAAATGTTCGACAGAAGCACAAAATCCCCACTTGCATCACTCCTTGCCTCTAGAAGTTCCCGATTCGCATGCTCAGCCAGTTCGATCTCACCATGGACCCTACAAGCCCCAAGCAGGGTCCTCCATATGACAGGATTAGGCTCGATCTTCATTGTGCCGATGAATTCAAACGCTTCTTTGAGCAGACCTGCACGACTCAGCATGTCAACCATGCAACCGTAGTGTTTGACATTGGGCTCAATCCTGTATCGTTTTTGCATCAAGTTGAAGTACTCGTGTCCCTTGTCAACCATTCCGCCATGGCTGCATGCAACAAGGACAGCAACAAAGGTAATCTCGTCTGGCTTGACATCCCCCTGCAGCATCTTCTGGAACACATCTATGGACTCTGTGACATGGCCATGCAATGCTAATCCTCCTATGATCGAGTTCCAAGTCGAGACATTCTTATCTTGCATCAACCAGAACACCTCTAGTGCACTCGTCATGCTCCCACACTTTGCATACATGTCGATCAGCGCATTTCCAAGAACAGCGGCAGGCCCAATTCTAGAAAACCTCCCTGACAGAAACCTGTGCAGTCTGCGGCCAGCATCCAGGTCACCAGAATCGGCACAGGCTGACAATAAGCTGAGCATCGTGACAGTATCTGGCTTTTCTCCCATGGCCTGCATCTGCTCAAAGAGCTCCATTGCTTGCTTGTGCGAGCCGCACCTCACGTACCCAGAGATCATGGCGTTCCACGACACAACATCACGATCAGGAGCCCCGTCGAAGAGCTCCCTCGCCGGGGCCATGTCACCCAGCTTCGCATATGCCGTGATCATCACATTCCAAGACACGAGGTCCTTCACAGGACTCTCGTCGAACAGCTCCCGGCGGCACCAATGTCCCTCTCCTTGCGAAGCCAGAGATCATCGCCGACCACGCCACGGCGTCCGCGCGCGCTTCGCCGTCGAACAGCGCAGCCGCGGCACCTAGGTCCCCGCAGGTAGCGTGCATGCCGATGAGCGCGTTCCTGACGAAAGCGTCCGACTCGCACCCGGCCTTGACCACGTGCGCGTGGATCTGCGCCCCAGTTTCGCCCGCGCCCATGGCGGCGCAGGCGCGGAGCACGAACGGGAAGGTGCGCTTGTCCGGCCTCACCATCACGCCGCCGCTGCCGGCGCTGTGCCGGGCCATGCGCGCGTAGATGGAGACGGCGTCCCGGGGCGCATCGCTGTGCGCGGCGCCGCGGATGAGGGTGTTGTACATGAACCGGTCGGGGTGCGGGATTCGGTCGAACACGAGGCGGGCGTGCGCGGTGCCGCCCCTGACGCCGACGGAGGAGGCGAAGATGAGCTCGCGGAGCGCCGAGGGGTCCGAGAGGAAGCCCCGGAGAACCATGAGCGCATGGACCTGCTTGATCTGCCGGAGGCTGCGGCATCGCCGCCATAACGCCGGCTGCCGGCGCTGGGTGCCCGACTTGCGCAGCATCGCTGTCGCAAGCGCGGCGCAAATGGTTTCAGTGTCTCCAAAGATCGCTCCGCTCTCACTGCTTGTGGGCTTGTCGTCATCCCGAATGACGGCCCCGCCCTGATGAGTTGCTCCTCCACTCTCTCATTGTCACGCGGCTGCGGCCGCTCGCCTAGTGTTCGACAAAACGCTGGAAGATGATGCAGTCTTCTACGCCGTGTGTTTAGTCCATACCTAAAGGACTGATTTCAGACAGCCATAAGGAAGTCTCAGCGTGGTTTTATGTCCCTGTTTTCAAGATTGTCACGGGTTGAAAACAGTGTATATAGGTTTCATCCCTGTAAAAATCACATTAAACTTTTATCATCTCTTTCTTCATTAGTACTATGACATGTTAGTTTATTTCTATGAAATCTCTATTGAGACTGACTTACAAAGAATCGTTGACACTTGGTGGAAATGGTTTATTGCATATTTGCTCACTACCATCATTTTTCTATAGAGAATGAAATGATGGTAGTGTACGAGCTGCAAAGAAGCTTAAAATGCTTTAGTGTTACATATACCTATTTAGTGTTTATTAGCCTAAATTTTTAATACAAAGGGCCGTTATAAGAGTATATGAGTCCAACATTTTAAATTACCTATCTCGTAACATCACATCATAGAATCAAGATTTTAACAATTTTACTGACAGCTGCAAAATTGATGGGGAAGCACTACCATGACGGTAACATCCACGACAAATCGTCATGGAAGACTTAGGTTTCTTGACAAATAGTCCCTAATAGCACATCCTTGACGAAAAAAAACTTTAGGAACGTCATCACTTGCTAAAGTAGCCGGAGCCTAGAGGAGTGGTTAGATGCTCACAATGGAGAGTTGTCGTAACTGCTACTCCATTCCAAATTATAAGGTGTTTTGATTTTTCTGGATATATAATTTTTGCTATGTACTTAAATACACATTATGTCTAGATCCATAGTAAAAGTAATGTTTCTAAAAAAACAAAAATACTTTATAATTTGAGATGGAGGGAGTACCGTAAAGCATCTCGCCTCAGAAGGAAGCTTTTTTCCGACACCTGGTAGTAATGGTCTTCGCAAGGTATGCTAGTTTTGCAGGACTATGGTGTTTAAAGGTTTTTAGCGATGCAAGACAACAAGAGTATAGGTTTCAGAAAATTATTCTACTCCATGTAGGCATAGGTTGTGTGGGACTACTACTACTTTTCCACCGCAAGCACGTACTTTCAACTCTATGACACTGGAAGCATTTTTTTTTTCCTCACTCTCTTGTGGGCGATTGTCTCTCCCCCGAGGCCATAGCAGGCTCTGCATGTCACAGACACCTGTGGAGCATCAAACTTTTGCACATGCCAGCATTCGAGCCTAGTTGGCCAGACAAAGCCACTAGCGAAGCCACCGTGTTGGCGCTGGCCTAAGTGGTACTGGTTTGTAGAGGAGAATAATCAACGATGGTGAATTGATGATACAAACAGACTGTACCATGATTTGGGCAAGCATCCGGCCAAGAAAGAAAATTTCTTAGTAGGTGTATTCTTAATTATATGATGAACTTGTATGCATAACTTGGCATCTACCCACCATGCACTTACCATGCTGGTTCCACACTTCCACTAAGAATGAGGTACAAAATACTACTGGTGGTCGTTCTCATGCATGATCCGACGCAATTTTAAGACCAAACCACCAATGAAACCCATCATTTCCCCTTACATGCATGAAAATATGTAACATGAACATTATTTGGCGTGGATTAAGCGAGTCATGACATCAAACGGCCCTGGAGACGCGGACCTTGAGGCCGTGCGCCATGGAGAGGATGGTCATCATGCGGTACTGGACCGGGTGGCCCTCCAGCAGCTGGAAGCTGTAGAAGCGGAAGAGGATGGCCAGCGCCATCTTCATCTGCAGGTACGCCGAGTCCTTGCCCAGGCAGATCCTGGGCCCCGCCTGGAACGCCGTGAACTTGAACGGCGACGCGTTGCGGAACGCCCCCTCCTCGTTGATCCACCGCTCCGGCCGGAAGCTCGCCGCGTCGGGGCCCCAGTTGTACTCCATCCGCCCCATCGAGTAGGGCACGTACGTCACCATCCCGCCGGCCCTCACCTTCGTCCCGTCCGGCAGCACGTCGTCCTCCAGGATCCCCTTGGGGTCCTGCGTGCAAGTGCATTGCAGGTTCACAAACTCACCCAGCAGCCACATCTGCGCAGACCGGAGCCCGGATCGGAGGTCGTGCGTGCGCGCTCACCTGAGGCACGGCGGGGTACAGGCGGAGCGTCTCGGTGACGCAGGCGTGGAGGTAGACCAGCTTGCCGAGGCTGTCGTAGGTGAGGAGCCCCGCGAACTGCGCTACGCGGGCGGCGAACGCCTTGTCGTCGGCGTCAGGGACGCCGCAGGGCACGAGCGAGACGCCCTCCTCGCGCGCGCGCTCCGCCTCGAACGCGCACAGCTCGCGCCGCAGCTTCTTGGCCACGTCCGGGTGGGACATGGCCATGTGCGTGAACCACGACAGCGTCGTCGCCGTCGTGTCCCGCCCGGCGATCACGAAGTTGAGTACCACGTCCCGGAGGCTCTTGTCGTCCCCGAAGCCGCCGCCGCCGGTACCGTCGTCGCCGGCCTCGCCCAGCTCGATGAACCGTGACAGGATGTCGTGCTTCATCTGCCCATTTAATTTGCCCTCACAAGTCACACACATATATAATCAATCAGGATCAGGTCCATCCCAACCAAGATGATGAATTGAAGAACGAAACAAGCTAACCTTCTCCTGTTTGCCGCTGGCCCGGGCCTCGACGATCTCGTCCTTCCTCCGGCGGATCACACTGTAGGTGAACTCGTCCACGAGCTTGATGCTCTGCGCTAGGAGGGCCTCTGACCCGACGTGGAAGAACCTCTTGACGCGCCACAGCGGGTCGATGAACCGCAGCGTGACGATGATGTTGGCGGCATCGAACGCCTGCGCGAAGCTGTTCTCGGGGAGTTCCGGCGACAGCGTGCCGATCTCGACCCCGAACCCAACCTTGCAGATCGAGTCCAGTGTCATCCTCATGTAAAGCTCCTGAATCGCAAAGTAGCTCTCGTGTTAATTAGGACGTTTGTTAGCCCCCCTCAGATTCACTCATTCACAGTGAGTGAGAGTGCCCAAGAAATGCTCATGCTGGCATTGGCAAGGGAGCAGTGAGTTCACCTGCATGTCCACAACTTTGCCTGCCTTGGATGCCTGGCTCAGTATGCCTGACAGCTTCAGGGAGTACTCTCTGAACACAATGGCGCTGAAATCCCTCAGGTTCTTGGAGGCGAACTCGAAACTCGCCGTCTTCCTTTGCTTCCTCCACAGCTCGCCGTCGGCGTTGAATATGCCGTCACCGAGGAGCACGTCCATGTAGGATCTGTACACGTCCCCCTGCACAGTGTTCATGCATTGGAATCAGCTTTCAGTACTGATTTCCTGAACCTTTAGCACAGCATCACGGAAGACTGAACATCGGTGAGTTCATCTCATTTACCTTGGGGTAATTGGTGAAGTTAGTCTTGAGGACATGCTCAACATTCACTGGGTCAGCGATGTAGGTGTAGGACGTGAACGGCATGTCGACGGTCACTGTCTTGTGCCGCGACAGGTACCCAACAAGCCAGTCGTGCATCCGGTGGTAGTTCCTCAGCTGCTCCACCGTTGCGCCGATGACCGGCCATGACCTCGGACCTTTCTGCTTCCTCAGGCTCCACCTGTGGACCAGGACACATGAGAGGACAACGAGGAGGATCGCGATGTACTTGTGGAGCCCTGCTAGTGGGAAGAATGGCGTCGCCAGCGTGAGGTGAGCTTCCTCCATGGTACTATTGATGAAGGGTCCAGTCTACAAGTGATGGATGCTATGTATGTATGTAGTGTTGTGTGGGTTTGTTAGCTGATATATTGGGTATTGCTGTTACCAACCTTGAGAGAGACAATCTTGGTGTGACCGGAAATTAAGATTTCTTTCATTCATATGGTGTCCCTGACCTAACTCTCGGACAAGTTGGGGCTTAGCCTTTGTGTTCCTTTTTGTGATCTGCCAACCAAGAAAATGAGTCACTCTTATACCGTATCTGCAGGTTATTCATTTTTATTACAATTAGGAGTCGCCAGATTATGTTATCATACTTCGGATCCAGTATTGTGATCCATCAGCTTGGTACTGAAAGTCTGAAACTGAACCTACCAGAAATTGTCCACAATTCCTTAAAAATTTAGGCACAATGATACATTCGTTGTTCCTACATGACAGTTCAAGTGAAAAGTACATCCTGAATAAGAATTTGTGAACCCATTGTGAGTTATTTTCTTGCAAGAGAATGACTGATGAAATATAGCCATGCAGTTGCCAATCTACAAAAAAAAAGGATGGATATGAAATTTAACGAACCTAACTTCAAAAATTACATGGATCAAATTGATAAAATTCTTGTGAACACTGAAAGAATAATCTGAAACCAAATCAAGAGAGCATGAAAATACAGCTCTCATGGATGATCTTTGATTCGGATCACCTACTTATTATAAATGTCAAGCAAACAAGAATATTTGCTGCATAAGTACTAATCATTCATTAACATGAACCTGTTGCAAGCTGCTCAACCAAGGAATAAATTAGGAGTGACAGTATCAGAATCTAAATGTTAATTTTGTTGGTGGCATCCAGTGTAAGTCTGAAGAGATCTCTCATTGCGTGTCTCTTCACCAACTTGCAATAGGTTGCCCTCCCAATCGTCACAACCTTGTCCTCCACCTCTAGCCGGTTGCCGCAGCCATTGCCATCCCTGGAACCCCTCAGCATTGCTTTCAGCACGCTCTCATTCCCGCCGACCGCATCAGCAACACTCTCTGCTACAAGAGCCTCGCTTGGAACTCGCCTTCCCCGTTTCCTCATCAGCTTATCAGAATCATACAAGGCGGAGTATGTGCTCCAGAATGACGCACGCAAGAACGCCTTCACCATAGACTTCCTCGTCTTCTCCTCCAGCCACACCACCACTGCTCCTATGTCTCCTCCACTGGCCAAATCGTTCTCTGACTTAAGGATTTCCTGCCTAAGAATGGAATCCTCGGCTTCAAACCTGCACCGATCACACTTGCATTCGAATCCCCAAGCTCTGGATGCCTCCCTGCGCTTGCTCACTGGCACAAGCACATCAAAGTATGGAAATGTGATCTCCTCCCCGGCTTTGATGTCCCTGGACGCGTGGACAATGGCATGGTCCCCGATGTGAGTGCGCCGGGCATTGGGGTGGCAGGAATGGTTGATGAACGACGGCAAGACCCAGAGTCCCACGCCGCAGTTGACGACACCATTGTTACCAAGCACATCGGCGGCTGGCGCGTCCTCAGTCAAGCAGTTCACGTCGAGCACCTTCAAGATCCTGTCCACATGAACAGCCTCCTGTGTCCCCATCGCCCTCGCCGCGCTGGTACCATCACTGAGACTGTCACCCTCAGTTTCATTCTTGAAAATTGCCATGTCCGGGACGACAAACTCATCTTGCCGCTCCTCGCCGGTAGACAGAGTATAGATCAAAGCCGCCGACTTCGGACATTTCTCGGCAGCTTCGAGCACCTTGTCGACAAAGTCCTTCCATACGAACATCTTCTCGTCGCTGTCGGCGGCATCAGGAATCACCCTCTCCCGATCGCCACCGCCTTGGCGATTACCAAAGTAGCCCCCAACTCGACGTTCTTCACAGCGAAACCCTCGGCAGCCGTGTGGGGACCGGAGCACCTCCACGGACCCGACGTACTCCGCTAGATCCGGGAACTTCCCGGCGAACCCCGCGAGCACCCACTCGGACAGGTCCACCGCCCCGCTCCTCGCCTGCGCCTCGAGGCGCCTGCACTGCTCGGCGAGCTCCCGCGCCTCGTCCGCGGCGGCGTACCGGCCGAGGCCGCTTAGGAGCGCGCCCTTGGAGAGCAGCGCGCCGGGGTGCGCCGGCTCGGCCGCAAGCGCGGCGTCGCAGTCGGCAAGCCAGCAGGCGGCATCTCCAAGCCGCGCGCGGGCGTCGGCGCGGTGCGCGAGCGTGGAGCAGAGCACGCGGCGGTCGTGGCCGGAGGAGGCGGCGTCGATGATGCGGGAGCAGACGGCGACGTACTCCCTCCAGTCCTCCTTGAACAGCAGCCGCGTCGCGCGGCTCCGCAGATGCTGCAGCGTGTCGTTGTCGAGGCCGCCGTCCTGTTCGCTGGCTAGTAAACGATCGTAAATTTCCAGCTAGTAAGAGTATTTTTCTCTTACACCAAACTAACCAGCAGTAAAATAATCCACGATACGATACGACCTCCCGAAACATGCTGCTGGATTCCGGCCATATCTCCGGTGCCGGGGGTTGCGGGGTGGGGGCGTCGTGACTCGTGAGATTAATGCGTTTTGTTTGGGCTGGTTAGTTGGTGGGTGGAGCTGGGAGTGGCGCACTCTGCGTGGGCGGCTGGGCTGGGCGCGGCGAATGTCCGAATTCTGCTTGGGAAAATTTGAATGCGATGGACTGACTGGGCTACTGGAGCTGGAGTAACGGCTTATCAGTTGTCGTCAGCTCAGTAAGTTTAAATTCAGTGTGTAAAATTTTTTAGGTGTCCGGGTGTTATATGGGTGTCGTGTGGAGTATTTGGATACTAATAAAAAAATAAATTACATAATCCGTAAATTATAGCACCATATTGTCAAATTATAAACTAAGACCCTGTTGTGAGAGAAAAATACTGTTATTTAGCTAAAATGGTACGACTGATAAGTTTAAGTGAACAGAGTCGAAGATTCGAAGAAAGGTGGGTAGTTGCATTGGGCACATGTAGTGATAGTGATTAGCATATAGTGACACCTTTCGTTTTCATTTGCGTTCATTGCTGGGAAAAGTCAAGCGGACTTCAAAGATCATTCTGAGATTAAAGCTCTTATTGTCAAAACTCAAATGATCTTCGATAGGAAAAATGATCATCGAAGAATACGTGCCATTTTTTTCTCTCTCCAGCGGTTCCTTGGTTCCTAATCCTCAGTCAGTCAGTCAGCCGCTCTCGGATAGGTGGAAATGTGATTAAGGTGGTATTTGGTTACCCCTCCTAAATTTTAGTCGCTGTCTCATCGAATATTTAGACATATGTATGAAGTATTAAATATAGATTAATTACGAAACTAATTGCATAATTTACGACTAATTTGCCTTTTAGTCTAATTAAACCATGATTTGACAATGTGGTGCTACAGTAATATATGTGCTAATGATAGATTAATTAGGCTTAAAAATTCATCTCGTAAAGTACTGACGGATTATACAATTTATTTTTTTATTAGTATTCGAACACCCCATACAACATCCTTCCAATACACTTCCTAAATTTTAGTCACCGGATCTAAACACCTCTATCACTGTGACGGAAGAATGATGGATCCATGTATGGTCCAAGTCCCTCGCAGCAATTCTTCGGTATTTCAGCATGTCGTCGTGTGGTATGCCGTAAGCGCATGGTAGTCCAGTAGTCCAGGAGTCCTGGCTCCTGGGGCAAGGAAGGAACCGGGCACCCGCGAGGCCGCGACCCCTTTGATCGCCATGGCCACGTCGCCGTCACGACGACTGACCACTGACGCCAAGATAAGACAGCACCACCGCCTTTCTCGCCCCTGTATGAAGTTTCCACCTGTCCGTCATTGGCCTCCGCCGAGGCAGCGATGGCGGCAACACCGGCCTGGGACAGGGAGGAATCCCTCATTTTCTTCCAGCAGCTGCTCTTCCTCCACGGCGTGAGCGCCGCGTCCCACCTTATCCTTGCACTCGCCGTCGCGGGGCGCTTGCTCTTTCGACTGTTAGAAAGGATGGGCAATATAAACGACGAATAACAGTAAATTAAACATAGGGGACACGAGATTTCGGCTTAAGCCCCTGACGACGGGCCTCGCTTTGCTCCGACAGAAGTTAGTCTTTATCTTGTACATAATTAAATTTGGATCACAACTCAACATCGACGCCTTTTCGCCTGCCGGACCAAGGAGCGGAGGAGATGCTAGCCGCGGCGTGGGCCGGTTCCGGTACTGCTACGGGGTCTCTGTCTGCACCACGTGGGCTCTGGCGGTGTTCGAGGTCCTCCTCGCCGCCTACTCCTGGTACGCGAACGGCGGCGCCGGGTGGTCGCGCGGCGCGGTCGCCGAATGGGTGGACGCGGCCGCGCGCACGGTGTCGTGGCTGCTGCTCGCCGCGTACCTGCAGTTCGATTTCGGGCGGCGTCAGCGGCGCCAGGAGCGGTTCCCCGCGCCGCTCAGGCTTTGGTGGGCGCTCTTCATGCTGCTCTCCGTCGTCGCCGTCGGCGTTCACGCGGCGACGAGTCTGGACGGGTTCCTCGTGCCCGCTCGGTCGTGGGCGCTCGACGCAGTCTCTGTTACTGCAGCAGTGGTTCTACTCTCAGCTGGGTACTTCCTCGGAAGGAAGGAGGGAGAAGGACGCGGCCATGCTTCCGAGAAGCAGGAGCCTCTGCTTAACGGCGCACACGAGGCGGCCGATGACGACGACGAGAACAGCAGCAGCGCCTCCGACGCATCCTTGTTCACTGGCGCCGTATTTCTTAGCGTGCTCACCTTCTCTTGGATGGGGCCCCTGCTCGGCGTGGGCCACAGGAAGACCCTCGTCCTGGAGGATGTCCCGGCCTCGAACCAGGCGACAGCGTTGCTGGCATCCTCCCGCCCTTCAAGGCCAACCTTGAGGCGCTCACCCGCGACGTCAGGTCGAGCCGGAAGGTCGTCACTGCGTTCAAGCTCACCAAGGCCCTGTTGCGCACCCTATGGTGGCACGTCGCGGTGACCGCGTTCTACACGCTGGTCTACTGCGTCGCCGCCTACGTCGGGCCGTACCTCATAGACTCCCTGGTGCAGTACCTGTACCTCAGCAACGACGAGAGGTACGCGGGCAAGGGGCAGCTTCTCGTGCTCGCCTTCGTCGTGGCCAAGGTGCTCGAGTGCCTGTCGCAGCGGCACTTGTTCTTCCGGCTGCAGCAGGCCGGGATACGCGCGCGGTCGGCGCTCGTCGCCGTCGTGTACCAGAAGAGCCTCGCGCTCTCCAGCCAGTCGAGGCGGAGCCGCACGAGCGGAGAGATGATCAACATCGTCAGCGTCGACGCCGACCGCGTCGGCATCTTCTCATGGTACCTGCACGAGGTCTGGCAAGTACCGCTGCAAACAGGCATGGCGATGTTCATCCTCTACTCCACCCTTGGGTTCGCCTCGCTCGGTGCCACCGTGGCCATCAGCCTCGCCACCGTGCCCCTGGGAAGGAGAAGCTGATGGACAGCAAGGATCTTTTTGTTCGATGATCCTTTCAGTGCAGTCGATGCGCATACCGGATCCCACCTTTTAAGGTACATGATTTATTGATTTGTTCAAATGATTATGCTTCATCGCTTATGTTTGTTCAAAGAAGTTTTTGATGACATAACATATTGCTAGGTCCTTACGATTTTTGTTTTGAAGGAATGCTTGCTTGTGGATTTGGCTTCAAAAACAGTGGTTTATGTCACTCATCAGATTGAATTCCTACCTGCCGCCGATCTCATTCTTGTGAGAATTTCTTGGTAAAGTTTTAATGTATGCTTGTTACCATAAAAACTTATGACTCTTCTTATAAACAAAGCTTGTGATGTAGGTCATGAAAGATGGGAGAATAGCACAGGCAGGAAAATATGACGAAATACTAGGTTCAGGTGAAGAGCTCATGGAGCTAGTTGGTGCCCACAAGGAGTCCCTAACAACACTAGATGTGATCGACGCCATGAATAATGGAGGCAATGTATCCTCCTCCTCCTCTCCCAGTGGCAGAGAGAAGCCTAATCTGTCCAGATCACTGTCATTAGCTGAGAAGAAACATGAAGCCAACGATGATGAAGGGAATGATGCTCGGAGTGGGCAGTTGGTGCAGGAGGAAGAAAGGAGAAAGGCAGGGTGGGGTTCTGGGTGTACTGGAAGTACCTCACGCTAGCTTACAAGGGTGCTCTAGTACCGTTGGTGTTGCTAGAACAGATGCTTTTTCAAGTAATTCAGATTGCGAGCAATTACTGGATGGCTTGGGCTGCTCCGGTGTCAAAGGATGTTGAGCCTCCGGTGAGCATGCCGACGCTGCTCAGTGCATCCTCGTAAGATCACTGCTTCTTGCAACAGCTGGGTACAAGACAGCGACTTTGTTGTTCAACAAGATGCATTTGTCCATATTCAGAGCTCCTATGTCTTTCTTCGATTCCACTCCGAGCGGGCGCATCTTGAATAGGGCAAGTCATCTTGATTCGGATCAAATGTTGTTAGTTCAATTCATTTGCTTGTACTATGCTAATTCATGTATTAAATTTTTTTTGCAGGCTTCAACCGATCAAAGTGAAGTGGACACCAACATTGCTGACCAGATGGGCACTGTTGCATTTTCCATAATTCAGCTTGTCGGGATTATTGTGGTGATGTCTCAGGTTGCATGGCAGGTCTTTGTTGTTTTCATCCCTGTATTTGCTGCCTGTGTCTGGTATCAGGTAATACTTTTTTACCGATCTTATCGTCCTCCATGTTAAATAACTGCAGGATCACCCACATCTCATCTTACTTAACTTGTTGCAGCGATACTACATTGACACAGCTAGGGAGCTGCAAAGGCTAGTAGGAGTTTGTTATGCTCCTATCATACAACATTTTGCTGAATCAATAGCAGGGTCAAGTACCATTAGAAGCTTCGGCAAGGGAAATCAATTTGTGTCAACTAACAGCCGTCTAACAGATGCCTACTCTCGGCCCAAATTCTACAACGCTGGAGCAAGGGAGTGGCTTTGCTTTCGTCTGGATGTGCTGTCATCTCTTGTATTTGCCTTTTCTTTGATCTTTTTGATCAATCTACCGACCGGTCTCATCGATCCAGGTATATATCATGTTAATTTTGAACAATGTTTCTAGTTCTACTGGTACTGGATGGATGGCAGTAAACTGGATAGGATTTGATGTGGGTTCTTAAGCAACATTACGAGAAACTTTCAGGTATTGCTGGTCTTGCTATCACATACGGGCTTAGTCTGAACACGTTGCAAGCACAGGTTGTCTGGAGTATGTGCACTTTGGAGAACAAGATTATATCAGTGGAGAGAATTCTACAGTACATAAGCATTCCTACAGAACCCCCGCTTGTCATGTCAGAAAATAAGTTGGCTCATAACTGGCCAACAAATAGAGAAATTCAGCTCCATAATCTCCATGTAAATCCCTCGTCCTTTTGCCGTTGTGTTCTATCCCTTTTTTTAATCTGTGCTAGAATAGTGTTCTAAGAAATTATTGTGATGGAAAGCAATACTAGATTTTTTTTGGGTTTGTTGCAGGTGAAATATGCACCACAGTTGCCATTTGTTCTGAAGGGCCTTACAGTCACTTTTCCGGGTGGCATGAAGACCGGTATAGTTGGAAGAACAGGAAGTGGCAAATCAACCCTCATTCAGTCCCTCTTCCGTATCGTGGACCCTACTGTCGGTCAGATACTGATAGATGGCGTCGACATCTGCACAATTGGACTGCATGATATGAGATCCAGATTGAGCATCATTCCACAAGAGCCGACGATGTTCGAAGGAACTGTCAGAAGCAACCTTGATCCTCTTGGGGAGTACTCTGATGATCAAATCTGGGAGGTAGCTTAACCTCCCAGATTTTACCTAAGTTGCTATGACATTCTATTTTATTGTCTCAAAAGGAAAGAAAATAGTTGAAATGTCAATGTTTTACTCTTGATTTCCAGGCTTTGGATTGCTGTCAGCTAGGGGATGAAGTTAGGAAGCAGGAGCTGAAGCTTGACTCACCAGGTCTGAATCTGATATATCCTTACATCAAGTCATGCAGTTCAGAGTTACTACTTTCTTTCTTTTCTTCTCATCACCTTGTATCTTTCACATGTTTTTTTACACAAAAGTATCTTTCACATGTTTTCGATCGTAGTGCTAGTTTTGCCAAAATGAAAGAATGGAGGCACACGGTACTGATATTCTTGGCTTGGATTGCAGTGATAGAGAATGGCGAGAACTGGAGCGTGGGCCAGCGTCAGCTCGTGTGTCTTGGTAGGGTGATTCTGAAACAGAGCAAGGTTCTTGTTCTGGACGAAGCCACTGCTTCAGTGGATACTGCAACCGACAACTTGATCCAGAGAACACTGAGGCAGCAGTTTAAAGAGACGACCGTCATTACGATAGTGCACAGGATCTCGTCCGTTCTTGACAGCGACATGGTGCTGCTCCTTGACAATGGTTAGTGCCACAGACAGCAGTGAGTAATTTGATGCCTTGGGTCTTCTGTTGTGAATTGTGATGACGCTGTGCTGTTGCTTGCATTACAGGCGTGGCCGTCGAGCACGACAGGCCCAACAAATTGCTGGAGGATAAGTCGTCTCTGTTCTCAAAGCTCGTAGCAGAATACACCATGCGGGCGGCGCATACATAACAGTCTATTACCACTTTACCAGATTGTAGCACAACCATGGCGATCTTCTCAAAAGAAAAACCCAACTACAAGCGGCGAGAGGGATTACAGAGAAGATGGGTAGTAGTTATCACATTAAAAATAAAACTCATAAATACATATACTTGGCAAATTATTTTTTTTATTTAACAAAAAACTAATATTTTAATACAAGTACATGTCAAATTACATTTTCAGAAACTATGCCTTTTCATCACGTCACAAGTAGTGGCATGACTAAATGAATACTACTACCCTAATTGGCACACTAATCATGAACTAATCAACATATTAGCACTTATCAAAACTAATCTTGCATCGGAGTAACTAAGTAATAATATAACATACTAATAAGAGCCTAAATTTATTTACTAATAACTAAGATCAAAAAAATGTGGATGAGCTCATTATGTTAAGTGGGGAATATTCCCTTCTGGTGGTCACTCCTGTCTAAGTCACCCGCGAAACAAATACTATTCATCCATACATCATTATATTTCATCTAGGGTCCCGTGAACCAAACACACCTCTAGTTCGCCCACCAACAAAAAAAAGAGCAAGAATTGATGGTGTATAGGCACAGGAAAAAAGAGAAATTTATTGAGCTGGAGGATGGTGGTAGCATGGTGATGACCTCACCAAGTCCACAAAGAGGTTTAGGTTGAGGCAATGCCACCACGCAATAGATATAGCAGCATACAAGAGACAGAGTAGGCTATGCCAACATAGCCATTCACAAGAACTTCAATTTTTTTCGATTCAAGAACTTCAATTATTGATAGAGAACTGCTTTGGTACTCATCTTTTCTAAAATTGCACGTATCTTAAAGCGGCCCATCTAATTATCCAATTAATCATGTTCTCCATCCACATCGCCGGTCTGTTTTGTTCGGACGTTTGGTTTGTGTGTTTGCGGCGGCAAGGAGCGGACTTGGTCGACGGCTCATCCACAGCGGCACTTGCATCCCCTCTGAATCCCTTTTTGTTTATTACCGTTCATTTCTCATAACTAATTTATCTTTTGTTTTCCTCAAACATGCTTTTTTTTAATATGTGCTTCATTAAAAGGAAAATTAATTTATCAAGCATATCTCTTTACCGGCATCACCACCTTTGTTGCAAACGGCACCAAACTTGTTAGAAAATCATATGGTTGAGCAAACACAAATACCCACATAATTGAGATAGTGGCAATGCAAGATAGCCAACAAAAAAAGGTTGCGGATTAGCAAAAAGAGCGAAGAAAATACCAAGGAAGAACTCAATACGACTAGCACATGAAGAGATTGAGAAAAGGCTAGGGCCCGTTTGGATCCTTAAAATTAAATTCATTCTAATAATTATAATTTAGGCATAGATTAATTAAGTTAATATATTTGTTGTAACATCCCGTGATTTTGTGTAATATAAAAATCCCGACTTTCAAAAAAAATTCTAATGAATGTGTGTTGCATGTAACGTGTAGTCAACTCAAGTCAACCTTTTTCCTATTAACCCTAATCTTTCTCAATCTTATTCAACTGAATTTACAATAATCTTGTGCACCATTTAGAGTAAGATGCACGAGTGATTTGGTTCTTGTCTTGTTGTGCTTGGAGGTAGCCCTTCTCCTAAAATCCTTGGGTAGAAAATAGAAAACCTACCTTCTTAATTCCATAGCCAGCGGGCTGCACAGGCGTGCATGCTCAATCGTGCATGCTACTGTGCTTGTTTCATTAATCACGTGAGCTCCATGCTTCCCCTGTAGTTCTCCGGGATCGGAGCAGGCACGATACAAGCAAGCCGAAGCCTACAGCCATGACGTGCACCAAGCGCAAGCAGCTTACCGTGTGTTTGGTTTTGAGACCAAGTGGGTTGGGTTGGGATGAACCCAGTTTTCTGGGATGGGATGAACCCATCTCATGTTTGGTTTGAGGTTGAAGCCGTTCCAGTTTTATGTTTGGTACGAGGGATGGAATGTGTTGGGATGGATGGTACTGTTAACTCCGTTAGTAGCTATCTGCGTGGGACCTAGCTGTCAGTGACTCCTCCCTTTTCTTCCACCTCCCGTCGCACCGCCCTGCCCCAGCGGCCCGCACCGCGTCGCCCTGCCCCGGCGCGCCATGCACCGCGCAGCCCTACCCCGCCATGGCAGCCACCTCCCCGAGCCAGAGCTCGCCCGCCATGGCCGCCACCTCCTTGAGCTCCGAGCTCTCCCGCCCTGCTGCCACCTCCCCGAGGCCGCGCTCGCCTGCCCTAGCCGCCCCCGTCACCCGCTGCTCATCCAGATCCGGAGGCCAGAGGAGCTACCCCGCGCCGCGCCACCATGGACGGAGCTCGCCGTGCCGCCATGGCTGGGGTCGAAGCTCGCCCCAAGTTGCGCCGCCGTGCCTACCGAGGTCCAAGGGCCAGGGGCTCGTCCCGCGTCGGAGGTCAGGGGCCGGGGGCTGGAGGTCGCACAGAGCTGCGCCATGGTCGAAGCATCCGGACATCGCTGGGCACCGGAGGTCGCCCATGCCGGCGATGGAGAAGCATCCGAGCAACCCTCGTCTGCACTCACCAACGGGGATGCAACGACGTCCATCTGGGTCGAGATGATTCCTCCGATTTGGTGTTACCGGTCGAACCCACATCCAGAGGGAATATACCTTGTGCGGGATGAACCCAACCCACTGATTCTGGAACCAACCAGCAGATCATCTGGGACGGACCCGGGATATCCCAGTTGAACCCGCAAACCAAACACACCCTTAGTCAAGCACGCTGGCCTCCGTGGACTGCCCTCCCACTAGCCCAGCCTGGGCACTGGCCCATCTAGAGCAGCTGGACGCCTCCCTGCCTCACGTGCGTGGCATGCACACATGGAGCCGCCCCCCTCGCATGCACTGCACGCGCGGATGTGTCCACTCGACCCCCCGTCAACCGGCACAGCCACCTCGACGCTGCTCCATTAGGCGTGACTGCAAGGCCACTCAGCCATCCCGTTTCTGTTCCATCACAGCGCGACCCACTCGTCAGTTGCAGTGAAAGACTAGGAGCCGAAGTCACCATCTCTTTTTCGCCTTGACGCCGTCTCCTTCTTCCTCCGTACCGACTCCCCTCTGTTTTCCCATCGCCGATGCCCTGTTTTTCGTCGGAGCCGTGGGAGCAGCGACGGAGCTACCCTAGGGGCGTGGTGGGGCGGCCGCCCCAGCTACCGGCGCCGTAGCCATAGACCATCGAACCCCCTTTTCTGCAGTTCTGCCCTATCTCCGGCGACCGGCTACCGATGACGCGAGGCAGAGCGCCATGGCGAGCGTCGAGTGGTCAGGTCCATGGTTGCTGGCTTGTTGCTCCCTGTTGGGCCTTTTTTGTCAGTTTAGTCTAGCCCAGTAAAGGCCCAAATTTGGTCCCCAGTTCTCGAATCCCAATTGGTTGAGCGCATCGTCATCCGGCCGCATCGAGCACACGCCGCCACCCGCCGCCACGGCACTGTCGCTACCCTATCTACCGGCTGCCGACCTGCCATCGCCCCACTTGGCGACGGCCCACCCAGCGCCCATTCACCCGCCGACCGCCGCCAGGTGCCTAGCCTAGCCCAGGCGCGCTCGCCGTTTGCCGAGGTCCGAGGAGCAGGAGCTGCCCACTGCCCCACTGGAGCTGCTGATGGAGGGAGGAGGAGAGGAGGAGGGGGTGAGGTACAGGAACCTGACGCTGGGGCTGGCTGTGGTCGCGGACAAGTTAGGGGCAGAGCAAGGGCAGCAGCTTCGTTAACGCCAAGAAAGAGATCTTCAAGGAACTTGGTATTGATAAAGTTAAGAAGAGGTTTGATGAATCTATGAAAAACCGAAGAGCGAGCTTGCCAAAGAGCTGTCGATGTCATCAACGTTCTTAGTCCTTCACCACTAGTAAGTGTATTATCATAATGTCCACTATTGTTTGAGGGCTACCATCGTTTTATTGTTATTCACTAAAACGCTAATTGATATTCATTCAATCTACAGGTTCAATCAGTCTTAGTTATTTGTATTTTGCAATGTATGGATCAACTGATCAAGAACTACTAGTTTAATCTTCAAATTTGAGATAACATCTTGTGTTTCTTGTCTACTTTTCGCCATAACGTGTGATTGCAGTGTTTTTGCCATGATTTGTGTGATTGTAGTATGCAAATGCGGTGCGTTATGAATACGGTGTCTTTTTGGTTTATTTCCTTGTTGAACTTCGCCCCACCTATAATTTTTTTCTGGCTCCGTCACTGCGTGGGAGCGTCACACGTTGCGACACGCCGAACCGCGCCCCGCGCCACGATTTGCGGAACGCCCTGGACCCACAGCACCTGAGCGCCAACCCTAGCCTTCTGGAAGATTCCCAGTCACGCCACCTGCTCCGCACCCTGGGTGCGCACCACGTCGCGCCGGCCATCACATCCACGGCCCGGACACCGATGCACCTTGCCAAGAACCCTAGCCTCCGACTATAAGAAGCCCAGGCCAAGCCGAGCCCTCGCCATCTCCCTCCTTCCACCGCCACTCCACCTTCCTCTGCCTCCCGCTGCTCCCTTGCCACGACGCGCCAGCGCGCGGTATCTGCGCTCGCTTGCCAGAGCCAGCCGCACCAAGCACAACCTCGTCATCGCCATCACCGGATACATCGTCCTCCTCAGGCCACGCGACGACGGCCACGTCGTGAAGCCGCAGCCTCGCTTCGCCGTGTAGCAGTGAAAGTCGCAGCCTCGACCCGATGTCCACCCGCAGCCTGGTAAGCCTCCTCAGCCCCAAAGATCCCACCTTTCGTCTGCACGGTGACTAGCCTGAACCTCCACCTTGCAGAAGGAGCCGCTACCTCGGGCGTGAGCCGAGTGCGAACGTGTCCACGACGGCAGGACGCCACCGCCGCACCTCCGCTCGCACGCCATCGGAATGCCACTCCTCTCCGGACTCCATGGTGTTACCGTCTACCTTCGTCGCCGCCTCAACCCTGTCCACGACCTCGACCACGGCCGAGACCTCATCGTGCCTCTGTCCGCCCAGGAGTCGCCTGACAGCCTTCCTCGCCGAGCCGACCACAATGACGTCCATCTGTCCCGTTGGTCGTGGGACACACCTATTACACCCAGCAATATCCATACCATATCCATGTCCTGTCTCTATTTTTCCTTTTATCATTTTATCATAAGAGTAATTATAATAATCATCTATTGTGAGTAACGACATGTTACTTACTCTATCAAAAATCTAAGCATAGTAGCTACTCAAACTTGTACTAGTAGGACTCATATGACAGTTATATCTATGCATGTGGTTTTCATAAAATTCCTGTAACGTAAATGCACATCACATATATATATATATTCAGTGATTATAAAAAATAAGGATTATGTACCGGGGCTTGTCTTAGGCAGGGGCGGTGTCAGCCGAGTCAGTCAGTGGCGGCTCCGGGACCTCCTCCTACACGAGAATCTCATTCTCGTACTCCTTGAACTCGTGATCGCCGGTGGTAACGATCTCCGCCAACTCGTTCTCTACTTGCATGCGATGATGATGCAACACTTAACATTTATGCAACAAACAACTCTTAAAATAAGAATATGTATACTAAGCTACTAAGCTAGCTCTAATGACTAAGGTTCTAAGCTAGCTATCATTTTTACCAAGTAAAATGTTGGGTTCAACTAACAAACACCTAACTTTAGAAATAAAGAATATATCTTTATTTCTACTAATGATTTAATGTATATTGAAACAAAGAGAATTTAACTACTCTAATGCTTAGTCTATTCTAAAGTTACAAAAATTACAGTGAGCACATAATAATACAATGAAGCTACCATAAAAAATTTAGGACTAAAGCTATCATCAATTTACCACAAAATTTCCTACCATATTTAACCTAATAATATTAAACACTCTCAAATGATTTAATAGCTCCTGGTATCAACATGTATATATGAACTAAATACACTAACAAATAGAGCATAATTTTAGAAACCTAACAAAATTTGTTTCATAATTTTTGGACACCTACATGATTTTATATGATTTACCAAAGATCAACTCAAAAATTATATTAGAAAAACTATTTCTAATTCCTTATGAAAAAGAAAAACGAATTCGCCCGCGCGGGCCACGCGACGCAGCACGCGCGCGTGAGCGCGCGGCGGCCCACAGGCGCAGCCCACGCGAGGCCGACCTGCAGCGCGAGACGGCCCACGGTGGGGGAATCCCGTGCACTGGTGATTTTGCAAAAGAGACCTCGAACTTCTTCCGAATTACAACTAAGTGTTAACACTATTTCTCCCCTCTCAAACCTTCTCACTTAACCCCCTGGATTTCCTGGACTTCCCCCGCGTGCACCCCCGGCAACTCAGTGCACGGCGGCGCGGCAAGCGACGTCACTGAGCGCCTACGCCGGCCACGTGGGACCAGCGCGGGCCCACCTAACGGGTCGATCACCATTTTTTGACCCGAGCGGCTACGTTCAGTGGCGGTGTGGGGTGACACAACTGGCTAGGGAAGGCTGCAGTGACGCGTGGCCATCCGAGACGACGACGCCACTGTTCTGATGAGTTGGGACAGCTACAGATCTAATCGGTTAGCACGGGAGCATCAGGAGGCTGCCCTGGACCAAGCCGAGGTGATGTTTGGGGCGGAGGATGACGGAGGAGGGCTGGCCATGTGCGGCCGAGGCGTGCGACGATGCACCGCGGTGGCACGATCGCGTCAGCAACGACGGGGAGGCGGTAGCGGTTCGGCTAAGGCTCGTAGGGTGGAGAGGGAGGCGAGGCGAAGCTGGTGGCACAAGTGAATTGGCTCGGGAGGGACAGTAGGAGGCTGCCCTCGTCCACGGCCGGACGTGGCCTTATCAGCACGACGGCGAGCAAAACTCCAAATTGAAGCTTGGCCATGCACGATTCAAGACTGGGTAGGGTCGGGCAACGAGAGGACATGATGGTGAAGCCGTGGGTACGATGGATTGAATGGAGGTGATCACTCGCTGGGTAAATTAGATGGCGCGGTTCGTGGCGGCGGCAATGAGAGGAGAGAGAGAGAGAGAGGGAGACGGGCGGCAGTGGGCTCGGCTCGTCCTCGCCTTGGCGGGATGCGGTCGACGTGAACGTGGAGGCACGCGTGCAGACGCTATGGGCAAGGGCGCACGTCCTCGACTGGCATGGCCCGCACGGCCGCAGTGTCTTAAATGACAAGGCGACGGTGAGCCCGCCACCACGTCTGCTGCGCAGCGATGGCGACCTCGAATCGGCCGACGGCAATGGCGTAGAGGGTACAATGGATGAGCACGCGGATGTGGCGACGATGCGACAACAACAAAGAAGTCCACGGCGCAAAGGCGGGTCGACAAAGGCAATGAGGGCAACGGTGCGCGAACGCGATGGCAAGGTTATAGTCTCGGCGATGGTTTACGTGCGGGCGCGGGCGAAGCGGCGGCGGCTTCTGCGGCGGCGAGGCCTACACGGCAATGGCCCACGAACCAAAGCCAAAAGCGACCACGGCCCACATGGCGGCGGCATACAGATGCACAAGACAACGACGAACGCAATGCGACGCCTGAAAGTGCCCGAGCGTGGTGACCGTGCCCATGCGGCCAACCAGCCCGAGACCGAGTCGTGCACGAATTTTAAAGTGTCCAAAACAACTAAACAGTTGCTTTAAGAGCCAAACCATCTTCACCATGCTCAAGAGAGCATATGAGGCAAGCGGGCTCGAGACTGGTTGGCTAGCTCGTGTTAGAGTTGAGCTAGCAACCACGGTTCGAATCCCCGTGTGCACAGCATTAAGCCATCTCATATAGCCGGGGTTTCGACCCTATTAGCTTTTTTTAAGAGGGCATATGAGACTACCAAATCGAGCTATAACACTACACCACCCCTTAACCTAATCTCTCAAAATAATTTGCTAAACATAGTAATGTCTAGCTGTTGATAAACTTGAAAATTTTCTAAGTTTTTGAGTTGAACTTGATTTCAATTTGAATTTCTAGGCCAGTAGAAATATTAGCTAGCAATATCATTTTTCAACAGCAAGTATTTCACTGTCATCTACAAAGTTTGTACTTCAAACTTTATTTAAGTATCACACTCATGTTCTATAGTATTTTCGCTTAATAAAAATTAGTTTTCAACCCTACTTAATATACATGAGCTATTGAATCATCCTTCATTTAGCATTTTTATTGATCATTTTAAGTTATAAGAAATTTATCTACACGTTCTATCACATGCATTAACACATAAACATGATGCTCATTACATGTTTTAGTAAATGATTTAGGGTGTAACACCGAGAGTGTTACAACATAGTTTGATATTGCTTTCTAGGACAGGGATTATCCAACTTGCCTTTCAACCTTTTTTGTGGTGTCAGCCTTCTTTTTGGTTCTGGCTTCAGCAAGAAAACAGAACGAAATTCCCAAAACTTATTTGTGTTCACCCCTGCTTGACTATGATCCAAAGGATTGGTTTCGGCTGAAGATTCTGAAAATACGCATGTTCTATTAGCAAATTTTGCCCCTGGCTAAAGTTCAGTCGATCAAGGGTTCTTTGTGCCGAATTTCTTGTAAACTGTATATTACCGCAATACGTATAGTAAAGGCGTTTACGTATTTCATGTTCTCCCCGCCTTCAGATTCCTGCCCCGCTCCATCTCATCTAACCCGCCCGATAAAAACTCAACGGCCAGATCAGCACCATTCCCACGCCCCTCCCAGAACTTCCCCACCCGCCCCTAAACCCGGAACCACGAAGGCGATCCATGGCGGCGGCGGGTTGGCTCCGACGTGCGGCGGCGGCGACGATGCCTCGCCTGCCTTCCGGACTTCCCCTCATACCTCCTCCTCCCCCCGCCCCTCTCACCGAGGCGCAGTCTCTCGTGGTCCCCGGCCTCGGCGCCGCCGCCGGGCCAGCCATGGAGCTCATGGCCGTCCCTAAGAAGAAGGTGCGTTTCGATTCTCACCCTTTACATTGTTTCTGGTTCTTCTTGTTACATAGGCTGCTAGATAGGTGTGGTCTGTTCTTGGTGGTCATGGGTGTGGCTGGCTGGTGACGTGGCGTAGCGTGGTGCGCTCTAGGTGTTCGTTGAATTGCTTGTGAGCAGAAGGGTGTGTCCTTGCGAAATGTTTTTACTAGTGGATCATAGAAACCGATAGGTGTATCAGTGTATTGTTCACTACCGGTTGTGGAGTGTTGATTGCTTGGTAGCCTGGCAGGAGTGTTGGGGGTTCCGCGTTTAGGCTAATACAACGGAAGCACCATTTCACCAAGTATGTTAAGTGGGGTGATTTTAGGGGACAAGTGTCTTAAGTGGGGTAATTTTAGCGGCTGGTTAGTTCGAGGTTCTTTGCAAACACATGTGCTTCTGATACTTTTCCATAACCTACCTGACCAACTGGTTTGTTATGCGTTGTGATTGATGATTTGAGCAGTAAGTTGATATGTGTTAAATGTGTATAACTCATTAGTATACTGCTATCCAGTGTGGTAAATCAGGGTAATAGATATATTCGTATGAAGAATACTGAACATGCATTCAGAAAGTATGCTGATTTATGGCACAAGTTATGATCATATTGCATATTTCAGTATTTGTATATTTGTATAGTAGGCTGATTTTGTAGGAAAACCATTTACTTGTACTGCATTCTAATTCTATCACAACATGTGAATCTATCTGGCCTGCTCTATTTTCTTCAGTAAAATCTGCATCATTTCATTGGTTTTATTTATATGCATTGATTGTGGATCCCAGTTTTTAGAAACTAGTTATTTGGTTTATGCTTGTTGCCGTTTCGAGGCAATGATGTTGGTAGATACCCTTATACTCTCATACTATTTCAGGTCTCCAAGTACAAGAAGGGTTTGAGGAATGGACCCAAAGCTTTGAAGCCTGTGCCGGTGATTGTTCGTTGCAGGTACATCTAAAAGCTATGTTTGCTAATACCTCTATTATCATTTTTTTCCTATGCAAGAGTAGTTCTGTTTTTTTTTTAACACGGTTGTTGGGCTGATGAGATGAGAAAAAACTGTGCTACTATACTTTTTAGCAAGATCCTCTCCCTTTAAATGGCCTGTAATTCTGTGACCAAGAGCTGCAGGGGAGGATTACTGTGCTTTTAACAATATCCTCATCCTTCAGGATGTCCTGTGACTAATACCTGCAGATAAGGTTTAGTCAGACAGTAGTAGGTGATTAATGGAGACATTTGTCATGCCATATAGGAACAGTCTGATTGTGAATTACTGAATATATGATATATCGCTGGTCATGATATGGAATGTGATTATCACATTTCAGTTTCCTGCCTTGACTATCTTCATATTTTGTTGATGTTTCATGTGGTTTTCTTAATGTCATTATAGAATAATTAGAGCAAAAACTCCTGAAGTTTGTCACAGAAAAATACTTCCATCTTCTGAATGTTCCTAACAAGTATAATTTCATGGTGCATGTGTTACGAATATTCAGAAAAATACTTTTGCAATGGTGTGAGTGCAGGTGATGTTTGTAAGGGTTGTAAACCTCTTTTTTTCTATAATGATACACAACTCTCCTGCTTGTTAAAAGAATGGTGCCCTTGTTGCCCATCCCTGTTATGACATATTCCTGTTGGTTTGCAGGTGCTGCGGCCGAGTGAAGCTACCTCACTTCTACTGCTGCAGCGGAGAAAGAGGAAACCCAAGCGAGTCAAGCTCATAGATGTTTTGTTTTCCTACTTTGCGCACTATGCTACGTCTGAACTCTGGACATTGTAATACCACTGAAATAAATTCTCAGATCGCATTTGGTATTCATCTTTTGTTCTCCTTCCAAGCATTTAATCAATGTACACTTACTCTAGTTTGAATTCAAAGTGTAAGCTTCAAAGTTCTCTCTGCTCGTGGCTAGAACGTACACGTTCTGATATAAGGAACTATTGAGGTAGGAGTAGTTTGAATTCGAATTATCAGCTTCAAAGTTCTCTGTGCTTGTTGCAGGAGCGGACACGTTCTGATATAAGGAACTATTGACGTAGTAGTATTGATGTAGTAGCAACCATTCTTATGTGTTACGATCGTCAGAAACTAAGCTCCCTTTGGATTGTAGTTTAAACAAAGGAAAAATGTAGGATTTATTTCTTATGGATTGAGTTACTTTAGCACCTTTTGGTTAGTAAGAGTTACCTGCAGGAAAAATGTAGCAAACTTTTCTTTGTACTTGATTTCACATGAGAACCATGGGGAAAGAACATCTACTTGAACCTCATGTTTCTTGCTTCTCTCTGTTTTGCATATAATCTTTATCATATTCTTATGTTTTTTCTATTCCTGTATTTTTTTTCAATCCTTCATTTCAAAGGGGTCTTAAAAAGAATTCACCGTGGGACCTATAAGGCTATAACTATAGCTAAATTTCCTGGTTTGGTTGAAGCATGGGAGGACATTGTATGAAAGTACAAATGTACAATCGCTGTTGCATTGATTGAAGCATGGGAGGACATTGTATGAAACTACAAATGTACAATCGCTGTTGCAGCATGAGTAGTTTCGTTCCCAGAAACCCCCGAAAAAGATAGGAGTTATGTCGCGTGGCAGATACTAGATCTCACCTCTTATGTTCGTCAGCAAAAATCTTTCTCAGGACTCACAGCGGAAGAAATCGGGAAAAAAACAGCCGATGCCCCCCCGCGAAGATTTCGATGCTGTTCCTGTCCATTTCGTGGCATTTCGGTGCGGAATCGTGGGCGGCACAGGAAAGGAAGAGGGGACCGACCGAGCGCCGCGGCTGCGGCCGGGCCGGGTAGGTAGACGACGAATCCGCGGCCGTTGGGCTCGGGCGCCGCGCCACCAACCAAACCAAACCCCCAAAAAAAAGCGACGAATCGCGCAGTGCGGAAGGGGGGAATCGCTGCGATTTCTTGTGGCCCGGCGGCTCCCAATTGCGGCCGGGGCCCGGCTGCCGAGCGCCGAGCGGATAACGAACGACTGGCGTCGGCCTTCCTCCTCTCCTTCTCCTTCTCTCCTCTCCTCGCATCGCAATCGCAGCAGGCAGGCGTTGCGTAGCCCCCTCACCCCACAAAACCAAATCGCTTACGCCCCCGAACGAAGCGTTTCGGTTCGCATAGCAGAGCTGCTCGTGCAACAAGAAGCCAAACAACCCAAGAGCCGGGAGCGTTGGTGGCTGCTACTGCTAGCTGCTAGGCCGAGACAGGGGATAGATTGAGAGAGGTGGGCAGATGGCGACGCCGTCGTCGTCGCTTTGCTCCAGCTTCGCCTCCCTGCGGACCGCCTCCATCGACCACCGTCGTGGCCTCACCTCCTCCACGCCCAGGTTGGTCCCCCCTTCCCTGCTTTCTGTTTGGCCGTGTCGACGCCCGCGTGCGAGGTACGGAGGTAGTAGCACCGAGCGGGCCTCTTCGATTCAGTCGCATCTCGCTCCTCGTCGGCAGTAGTTTCTAGCGATCCCTTGTTCCGTTGCCGCCCTCGATGGCTCCGTGCGCCGCTGCTGCGAATTGCCTGCTGACCTGCTGTGGAGTCGCCGAAGCAGAACATGGATTACAGCTCCCATGTCTCTCGGTGGTTGGGTGGTTGGCTGCAGTGTGTGCCCCAAGTTGCTGGTGATGAGCTCTGTAGGCTCTGGATCAAATGTCCTGACTGGCTATGTTACTTTGATGTCGCATATGGAGGAGTTTGTGAGTCTGGAAATGTAATAGATCATGCTTGCTTATGCTTGTTAACAGCTCTCATATCTATATGATGCTCTCTACTGTAAGTGATATTTTCTCCGTGTTACCTGTTAACTAGAGAGCAGGGGAAATGGGCAAACAAATCTAGTCATGCCACTTGATGATGCTGTGTAATTTGGTTCATGACTTCATTGGTTCTGAATTATGAGCTTATCTCTTTACTTTTCTTTTATGGTTTCCAGGAAGGCATTCCAAGTGAGGGCATCAGCTCGGGTTGACAAGTTCTCAAAGAGTGACATCATTGTGTCCCCATCCATTCTATCTGCAAACTTTGCCAAGCTTGGTGATCAGGTCCGTTGAGATACTAGCATCCAGTCATCCACCTTCTACCAAACTCCACTTCCTTAGATGATTTGTTGCCCTGACGAGTACTTGCGAATATGTACTACACGCATGTTAGGCACTTAGGCTACTATTGAAGGAATAGCTTGGTAATGCCACATTCATTGCGTCAGCAAATTTGGCCTCACACAATGTATTCCTGTTCCACCAGCTCATTAGCAACTTTTTCCCAACTTCTTTCACAACAAATAAGGCAATAGAGTAAGCCCTGCTATGCATTTTCTTGATGTCAATTGGCGAATTTTTTGTGTTCATCTTGCCATGCTGTTTACATATTACTAGGTAAAAGCTGTGGAGGTGGCAGGATGCGACTGGATTCATGTCGATGTCATGGACGGGCGCTTTGTGCCAAATATCACAATTGGACCTTTGGTTGTTGATGCTCTGCGTCCAGTGACTGATCTTCCGTTGGATGTACATCTGGTACTGTTCTGGAAGCCCCAGTCAGGTTTTAATGTGCTGTAGTACTTTCATTCCTGATTGACCCCTTATGAATGCGGTTATTTTTATCACAGATGATTGTGGAACCTGAGCAGCGAGTCCCTGATTTTATCAAGGCAGGTGCTGATATTGTTAGTGTCCACTGTGAACAAACATCGACCATCCATTTGCACCGAACAGTCAATCAGGTAAACATCTCTACCACCTTTTCTTTACAAGTTAATGCTCAGATAATATAATTTAGTATGGAACTTCAATGTATTTGGATATATATAACAATGAATGCGGCTTTTTCCTTGCATGGTGCTGTGCAACACAAATGACTTCAATGAATATTTTGCTTAAACACTTCAGGCCTTGTCCGGTTGTTCTCAGAATCAAATGGATTGAAGAGGATTGGAGGGGGTTGAGGGGGATTTTGACTTGTAGAGGATTTAGTCTCCTCAACCCCTCCCAAACCCCTTGGTTCAGGGATCAAACGAACAGGGCCTCACTGTATTTTGTTCATTCAGGATTTAGCTAATCATCATGAACTATTACATAATGAGTGTTTTTTTTGTGTGTGTGTGTTTGTTTTCTGAGGCTGAACTATTACTAATTACTGGGCTCCGAGTCTCCGACTATAGCTATAGGAACACATTTGCTACTTGCTAGTGTTAGACCTACAACCAAACACATTCCTATCTGTACTTTAGTTACGATTTAGGATTATTTGGCCCACCAAGTTCCTTTGCAGATCTTTGAATGTCCCAACCATTGGGGTGTACTGCTGTCGTTTATCCTCGTGGCATGCTGTAAGTTGGAACTGAGTTATCTTTCCATTATCTATCAGATTAAAAGTCTAGGAGCAAAGGCAGGAGTTGTTTTGAATCCAGCAACTCCACTCGCTGCAATTGATTACGTTCTTGATGGTAAGATCATTATGCTCATTTCAGCATATATGGTATCTTGACAAAGTTGACGTGTAAAGTTCAGAAAATCTGTCGATGTTACTATACCAGGTTTGGAATGTCTATTATCGCCAGATTAGCTTCCAAAAGCCTTATAGTATATTCATGAGTGCAATGTATACTTTTATAGCTAGTAGTTGGTAACTAATAGTAAATGATGACTGTTGAAGGTTGATATTGGAGTAAGTACATACTCCATTCAGAGTCGGTATGTGAAGCATCAACCAAGCTGCTCCCTCCTGTTATTCAGCTAGTGATCTTGATTTTTTATGCCAGTTTAACCATTGAGGCAAATTGTGCTGCTGCTTGTGATAATTTGTGACAGTTTTGACCAATGACACTCTTGACTCTCTTGGCTACGCAGCATGTAGTCATAAAGTCTGCATTAAAATATTTGAAGTTGCTTTAGCATACATTGACTCTTTTCTCATCCATTCATCAGTAACGTGATAAGCTCACATATCCTGACATCTAATGACAATACTTCACTTTTTTTTCCATGCAGTTGTTGACCTGGTGTTGATTATGTCTGTGAATCCTGGGTTTGGTGGCCAGAGCTTTATCGAGAGTCAAGTAAAGAAAATTGCAGAATTGAGAAGGTTATGTGCAGAGAAGGTATATCCTTTTGTTTCCTTTCAAGTATTCTCACTCACTGCCCTGAATCCCTTATGTTTAAAGCATTGAAGTGTTAATTTCTTTGGTTTTTTTTTTGTAGGGAGTGAACCCCTGGATTGAGGTTGATGGTGGTGTTGGTCCGACAAATGCCTACAAGGTGACATGTTTAGGTTTTTTCCATGCTGGCATTTAACTTTAACCTATCTTATGGCACTTGTGTTTAACTTTAATAATCCTGAACTAATCTTCTAGTCTAGTTAGGTGCTAATATTTGTTTTCCTTACTTTAAATGACAGGTTATTGAAGCTGGGGCGAATGCCATCGTTGCTGGTTCTGCAGTTTTTGGGGCTCCAGACTACGCTGAAGGCATGGTTTCTTCTCAGTGTCATTCATGCTCTAAATTTGAAATTCCATATAGGTTTGGAATCAAATATATGTTGCCAACCGTGCGCTACTAAAGTTTTTATTGATGATCCTCTTGCAATTCTGCAGCTATCAAAGGAATCAAGACCAGCCAAAGACCTGTAGCTGTACCCGCATAAGGAACTGGACGTGTAATCTTTTACTCTGTGCAAGTTTACCAGTGTTGCGATTTGTATAGATGTGTGTCTTGTCGAGCCATACGT